GTGATGTTACATTTATATAATTCCTTGGTAAGACCCCACCTAGAATATTGTGTGCAGGTTTGGTCACCATACCTTAAGAAGGACATTGCTGCCTTAGAAAAGGTACAACGGAGGGCTACGAGAATGATTCCTGGTCTTAAAGGAATGTCTTATGAGGAGAGATTAGCTGAGCTGAATTTGTTTAGCCTCGAGCAAAGGAGACTAAGGGGGGACATGATCCATGTCTATAAGATTCTAACAGGTCTGGATGCTGTTCAGCCAAATGGCTATTTCAATATTAGTTTAAATACTAGAACTTGTGGCCATAAGTGGAAAATAGCGGGAGAACATTTTAAAACAAATTTGAGGAAGCACTTCTTTACACAGCATGTAGTTAGAGTATGGAATAGTCTAGCTAGTGTAGCGGAAGCTAAAACCCTGGGTTCCTTTAAATCAGAGCTAGATAAGATTTTAACAGCTCTGAGCTATTAGTTAAGTTCTCCCCAAACTAGCTTGATGGGCCGAATGGCCCCCTCTCGTTTGTAAATTTCTTATGTTCTTAATAAATGTAACCACGTGATACTGTACTGAAGAGAGATAGGGAAAGAATCTGTGTATAGGAATACAGTATTGTAAAAAACATTAAAGAAACTTCTTAAAAGAGTTTAAATAATAAAAAAGATCATGATTAAATGTTAACACTTAAGCTGGCTGTATACTTCAGACAAAATCGAGGATATTTTGGCAAGACACGTACGTAATCACCACAGTGTGGTGGGTCCCCGTGGCCAACTTCTTCTTTTGTTATAATCCTGCACACTGTCCATTGGTGAGTCCAAATCCAGGGGTCGGGTCCTACTTAGGACGCATTCGTAGACTGATTACGTCACAGCAACGCGACAAAGGCTGTCCAAGGCTCCTCCAGATGCGGCCCACAAATGCATCCTTCGTTTCCCAGTTTTTGAAGGATGGGCTGGGTGGATCCTTCACAGCCCGCCCTATCCCATAATTGAATCTTGGGATTGTTTAAAAAAAAATGACAGTAGCTGCGGAAGAGGCAGAATACACTCTTAAATGTAACTAAATCTAGCAGTGCAAATGTTAAATAGTTTAGGTTCCATCATTTTCAAGTTTGTCCACTTGATATGTTCACCGCTGCCATAGCAACCTTTAGCCAATCACATTGCTTCTTGCTCGGGATACAACACAATTGGCTGCCACTTGTGGGAATGTACCCTCACGGTTGCTAGGCGGTGGGGGCATTAGGAGCTACGAGGTAAAGATTTGAAGGCTAGACCGTCCAATTTCACAGCCATTGTCTTCCGGCCTTCGCGGTCTTCGTGGCATTCGAAGGACGAGGTCTACGGAAGCCGCATCATAGGTAGGACCCAGCCGCCGAATTTGGACACACCTCATGATTGGCTGACGTAAGTGTGATGCTGTTGGTCAGCAGGACTAATTATGCCGTTTCCAGCATGCTTTGCGCCACAGTGCATATTACATTGCATACATTAATATATGTATTCCTGTATATCTGTTAATAGTAACTGTCGTAACCATGCTCGTAAGTACAAGTTGTCCATAAGTCATACATTGTTAACCCAGGGACCTGTTAAGTGTGCATACAGAGCGGGGGAAATGGCTCTTCAAGTTTTCCCTACTCTGTTTCAATTCAATAAGCATGATGTTTGGCACTTCAGTCTTAAAAAAACCTTTTGAAAACATTACAGGAGATGAAACAATTAAAACAGATATAAGACTGTTAAAAAATGGAAACAGTGGGACGATAAAATGATGATTTTTTTCAGGTGACTCCTTCAGTACTGAAGGCTCCCTTTGGTTGAGTCTCCCAATTCCAAACCTAGTGCTCCCAGTAATTCCCATCAGCTGGAGCAGAAGCTGCAGTGCACTGCCCCCGTGAGGTCGGATATGACCCCCTCCTGCACCAGCCCTTTCAGCAGGGCAGTCTCCTGGGCCACATCATGCATGGTCTGCATCAACATGGTGGTCATGGGCAGGCTGTCGTAGTAATGCAGCGGCATCCCCTTCTGCGTGAGGTCGTATCCAAAGCCAGCCAGGCTTACCTCGTCACAAAGGTAACTGGCCAGATTGAGGGCGGTCACGCCCAGGGTGGGCACATTCTGCAGACACACAAAGGTCATCACTCGACGCTTCATAGCTGTAATAGGTACTGTAATCATTCATTAGACTAAACTTTGTCTCACCAGAAACAAATACAAACATTGTTCCTTACAATAACTTTATATCATAATAATTCCTTATCAGGCATGGAGAGTGACACACTACTGTACTATACGAATTTATACTGTCTCTTTTACATTTAAGAAAATTATTTGCATAGTGTGTGATAAGGATGTGACTTGTATGTGTGACTATCAGAAATGACCTTTGCATATATTTTCAAGACAGACCAAATGTGAAACTTTAGCCATCCGAGACAAAAGAATAGTATTTAATATTACTTCAAACCTAGACCTTACTGGTACAGATTAAGACCTACATGTGAGGACATCATTACCCTTTTGTTTACCGTTTTGTTAACTCATGTGTAATTAAAACACGACAAAAGATAAAATTTACACAACTTCAAAGCAATAAAATCCATGTGTAGTGCTTCATGCTCTACTAAAAAGCAACAGCATATGGGATGGGTTTGGATATAGTTTGTACTTTCCTGAGTACCCATCTTCACATGTGATGCCTATAGCGGGCAGAGACCTTTTCATAATGCTTCACATGGAGAGTTTATTTAGCCATAGTTCAGAACTCTGCAAGTGCAGACCTGGAGGGCTACTGGCTAATCAGGTTAGCCACCTAGACTGGAGGAGGATAAAGGATCCTCACATTTCAGTGTTTTCCTGTTTTCCAGAATGAGATGTTCACTCATGTGTCTCACTTATAATGGACACAACAAATAACACAAAGCAATGAATATTGTGATAACATAAAAAATCCTACAAAATGAGAGACAACACTCAACAGTAACACAAAATAACGTTAAACTAATACTGAACAATAAACAACACTAAACAATAGTACAAGGCAATAGCTCCAAACAATTACACTGAACAACACAAAGCGAGGCTTCACTGAACAGTAAACAACACAAAACAACAATGAACTACCAATGAAGAAAAAATAGCATGAAATGGAAAACACTGAACGATAAATAACATCAAACAATGAATTACGCAAGACATTAACACTAAACGATAAGACCGAACAATGAATAACAGAAAATAAACTACTATTACAAAAAATAGCAAATGAGTAGTGGTGATAAAGTGTGCCATTGTTTCATCTACAGTGTGTTTACATCTTATACCACTTTCTACTCCTTCCAGAAAAGAATGGCCCCTGTTTTGAGGAAACCTTCAACATGCAGATCCCCCTACACCCCTTATCCACTATAATTTGTACTACAGCAGAGTACTGCTTAACAGCCAAATGGCTGAGTTAAAAGAGATAATTGTATGACGATATCAGGTGGCGAGCGGCTTTCAGTTCTGCCTGAGGTTTAAAAAGTTTTGCTGTGTCAATAGGTAATTGTACCCAGGCATGGGCCTCCCACTGAGACCTTAAAATATAGAGACCCACTTACAGTTTGGCAAGGACACATCACAAATGAAGTCTAAGAGATTAAAGTAGAACGCTTAATATTTTATTTAGAACCTGCATAACTGCGCAGCATTAATTGTTAAAATGTCACTTGACTGGAACGTTTAGGGTTTCATATACCCCTATAAAGTGACACCACATGCATATTTCTTGTTTTCTCATTGTAGTGCTGGGGGAATATCCTGAAATTTTGGAGTAAATCCCTCCCACTTACCTGAGAGAGCAGCTAAACTTTCTGAAGCTGTGAAAAGGATCTCTCACCTTGTCCCATCCCCATATGTGGGACTGGGGGGTGGGCAGGTGCAGCAGGTCTAGCGCGGTCTCCCTGACGACATCCGGGTTCAGGATCCGGAACTGTGATAGCTCCAGGGGAATTCTGTCAGGCACCTTCTGCCAAAAGAACAGCCAGTCCCAAAAAGACTGGAGGTTCGAAACATCAGCGTAATCAGACGAGCAATAAAATACAGCCTTCCTGTAATGCTCGTCACAAAACAGTGATTAAGGTGATTAGGTGATTAGATTAAGTTCATCAGGAGAACAAATGGCATTCCAGCCTTGAACGCTGAAGAAGAAAGAAAAGGGAGAGGGTGGCACCAGGAACCTGCACTGTGAACGCTAAGATGGAAGGTAGAGATGTAGGGGTACACACTTTCCCCCATCACTACACCATAGTACCCTGAATGCTTTCTTACACGTTTCTCTTTTATTTTCTAAGTCAAGACACAAGTGAAGCTTTTGAATTCAATATAAATTTCACGCTACCGTAATTTAATAATAGACCCAACGGAAGGCATTGATGACTGTTTATGTGTAAAGTTGGGAAAATTGTTTCACTGTACTGCACCAGATACACGTCTGTGGAACTGTGAAGCATATCTGCAGGTTTAACCCAAAGACCCATCCTCTGTAATACACTTGTATGGTCCAGTGGTCGCCATCTGGTTGATCGTGATAGACCAGGGGGTGGGGTTCTCAGTTCATTACTGCATCACGTTTTCATTGCTTATTTTAGAAAATATAGCAGCTGACACGTTGTTGAAAATGTTGCAGCTGACATCTTCCAGAGTGTCAACACTCAGTGTGTGAACCGATCGGATAAAATCAAATTAATAATAAATCAAATGTGTATAATAAGCTAATTAATATGGCCGAGGAGAACTTACCACTTGCTTCTTGGTAATCATGGCCTTCAGCCAACTGAAATCCACTGATTTGAAGACCACCGCCACAAAGAGCAGCCTGGGGTCTGGGTCTTCCCACTTCTTGGGGCTGCCTTCTGGATAACTCATCCTGATGGAGGTACGGTTGCCCACATCTCTACAAAAGCCTTGCATGGGACCACTGTTCAGCCTTGGAGACCAGAGAGTCCAGTGTCAGTGGTGCTTATCAGAACGTAAATTTGATCAACTGTTGAAAGTACTACACGAGTGGCGAAAAAAGTGTGGATATACTTCCAATTGTCAGAGATTGCAGAACTTTATTCCAGTTACTCCATTTACTTATTTAGTCATCCATTCTATGATACTTGTAAACATTCTTTGATTGTTTATAAACATTACCGCCAATATTTGTGTAGTCATTTTTTAAACGTAATACCAAAAATGCTAGGTGTTTCCACAAGTTTTGCCACCAGTTTAAGTGGCCTACTTGAGAGGAGCACGGCTGTGATTTCCAGCTCTTAAAAGTATAGTCCTGGAGGTAAACATTTCACAGAGCAGAGAAAAATCAACAAGATTATTAGCAAATTAAAGAAAAACATGTCTGAAAACATTTCTGTGACTGAAAATAAAAACACCATGCATTAACTGAGGCAAGGCTTTGACGTCATGTACATTTAAAATGTTACAGGTGTTACATATGAAACACCTGCTTAATTTAATTGCTGGGTATTGATTACAACACCTGCCGCTGACCCGTTCAACACAAAAATCAACACAGAGAGCTTCCAGTGTTATGTAGTCCCAGTGTTACATCGAATGCTAGTTCATTGTTTGTCTAATATGCAATGTTTGTTATGTTAGGTAGTGAATATACTGTAGCAAGTAGTCTTCCCTATGTCTCCCTTATTATTAATAATTGTACAAGACTTTTTAGTAAATTATTCCATGACTTTAGCACTGCAATGTCTGTCCTGTCATGACTTCAACAGGAACATTTCGCTGTGTGTTGTACATTACTGAGATGACTTCACTTGACTTCTACAGTGAGTGACTAGTTGTGACCAGAAATAATAATAGTACTAATAATACATTTTATTTGTGGGCCCCTTTCTAAAACCCAAGGTCATCTTACATAACACATAGAAGACAAACAATAAAAACAAATAATTAAAAAAGGAGTTATGTAATAATATGTACATAATAGACAACAATTGGGTTAAAACGAGTAAGCCAATTTAAACAGATGGGTTTTGAATTTTGATTTAAATAATGGAAAAGAGTCAATATTTCTGATAACAGGCGGAAGTGAGTTCCAGAGTCGGGGAGCAGAGCAACTGAAAGCTTCTCATGGTGATGAGGCGGGAAGAGGGAACAATTAGATGGGTGGCAGATGATGATCTGAGAGAGCGGGAGGGAGTGGCGATGTGACACAGGCCACATAGATAGGGAGGGGTGAGATTGTAAATGCATTTAAAAGTGAGAAGCACTTTTAAAAACTATTCTAGTTTCTATGGGAAACCAGTGAAGCTGTTAAAGGACTGGGGTGATATGTTCCCTGGGGGGGGGTGCCAGTTACGACTTGAGCTGCAGCGTTCTGAAGGAGTTAGAGTTTATGGAGGGACTTGTTGGGGAGACCAAAATCAATCCTAGAAGTGACGAGGCTATGGACAAGAATGGCAGCAGCATGGGGAGTGAGGAAGGGATGGAGTCGGCTTATGTTGCGCAGATGGAAATATGTGGACCGGGTCATATGATTAATGTGTGACTGAAATGAAAGAGTACTATCAAGGATGACGCCCAGACTCTTAAGCTGGGTGGAGGGGTGGATAGCGGAATTATCAATGTTGATGGAGAAACTGTGGGATTTAGTTAGAGTGGAAGTTGTACCAACGAGTAGAACTTCAGTTTTATTGCTATTGAGTTTGAGAAAGTTGGAGGAGAACCATGATTTAAACTCCATTAGACAGTCTGAGAGGGAAGAGAGTGGAAAGGAGCAGCTAGGATTGGAGGAAATATAGAGTTGGGTGTCATCAACGTAACAGTGAAAATTGATATTAAATTTCCTAAATATGTGCCCAAGTGGTAGCATGTAAATAATGAATAAAAGGGGCCCCAATACTGAACCCTGGGGAACACCGGCTGAAACGAGGAATGAACGTGAGGAATTAATGAGATTTGAGTTGGATAAACTGAGTGCAGCCAGAGAGATATGAGGTGAACCAAGCAAGGGGAGTATGACTGATGCCAATGGATGATAATCTATTCAGAAGAGTATTGTGAGAAATAGTGTCAAAGGCTGCGCTCAGATCCAGGAGGATGAGAATGGTGAGACGACCAGAATCAGTTGCTATCAGGAGGTCATTGGTGATTTTTAGTAATGCTGTTTCTGTACTATGGATGGGGTGAAAACCAGACTGGAATTGTTCATAGAGGTTATGGTTACTGAGGTGTTTGAGAAGCTGGGAGGCAACGACTTTCTCAAGAACTTTTGAAATAAAAGGGAGGTTTGATATAGGACGAAGATTATCGAAGTTATAGGGATCTGCACCTGTTTTTTTTTTAAGAATTGGAGTAACGGAAGCGTTACAGAGTAACGGAACGGTTTTGAGTGATGGAGGGACACTTCCAGTATTAAGGGAAGAGTAGATAATGGTGGTAATGAGGGAGGCCAGGGAGGGGAGACAGGTTTTAGCTAGAGTAGTGGGTACAGGGTCAAGCTGACAGTTCACACAGGAGGTCTTTGAATACTAACACCTTATTAATACAGGAAAGTGCTTGTTTTGTGGAGGTGGTGTAAATATCTCGGTTATTAATAAGGAGTGTTAATATCTCCTTTAAGCCCTATACCAGGACACAATGACAGTAAGCCAGGAAGCACAGGGCACAGAGCAGCAGACACACAGTACACAGTGCCAGTCCATCACAGATTATGGGCAGCTCAGAGACACCAATAAACCTGACTACATATCTTTGGACAGAGAGGAAACAGGAGTCCCTGGAGGAAAATCCATGATACACGAGGAGATCACGAAAAAACACTACTGCTCATAACAGCCATTGTAAAAATGTGCACCTCTGGTGACTTATTTTTAGTTTGAATACATTGTTGTCCTGTTGTGATCAACATCAAAACTTGAAGTTTCAGTTTCAATTCTTTTATCAAATTGGAAAAACAACTGTCCCTGGTTTAGCCCCATAGTGTTTTAGTATTGCATCATTTTGTAATGTTTTATATTCTATATTATATTGTTGTATTATAACCAAGGATTGACATAACTGGAACACAAGTAGGCATTCACCTTTAAAAGCGATATTTGCGGCAATCGATTGTTGTAACAGCATGAATGCGTACATATTTTATGTACATTCACGCCGATATGACAAGAAATTATCGTTTGTTAAGATGCAGTCTTATTTTGGATTTTTTAATTTAATTTCTTAGGTTTTTTTATTCTGACATGTCGAGAAACACATTGCCTTTTGTTAGATTTATACCTGTTCAGAACTATTAGTTTTAAAAAATAATTTCAAAACAAATTCTGTTTTCCCTGTTGTACTGCAACTGCCCTGAACCATGAACCCAAAACTGAATTGTTCACTGAACTGCGAATTTTATGTACCATTACACCCCTGATTTGCGTGTTAAAGGATCCAATACCCCTTCAGAATAGCTACGAGTCCAGTGAATGGAGACAGACCTGATGATCACGTCAAACTGATCGATGAGAGGGCCCAGCTCCATTCCACGGAGGATCCCTCCATTCCCAACCACCACACATCGCTGACAGGCCTTCTCAAGATGCACCTGGGCTGCAGGGGTGGGCAGCAGGTTGAGGATGTCTGTCAGTTTGCCACGCATGTCCCGCAAGCCGAACGGTGGCGGATACTGAAACATGTCTTCTGTCAGTACAGTGTCTCTCCAAAGGAAATGGTCAGTCACACGCCAGGAGCTGTTCAGCCTGGTTTTGATGGCGTTTCTGACGAACTGTGGTCTGCACTGCCTGGTTAATATGCTCTGGGTATGTTGGTGCATGAGCTGACAGGACAAATGGAGAAGAAACAGTGAATATTTGCTCTGTTTGTGGCAAAGAGGTAGTAAACATCTTCAGTGCAGCACAGGGCACAAGGCTGGGGTGCCCCTTGGACAGGATGCCAGTCCATTACAGGGCACATTCACACATTTACTCAGAAACACAGTAATACACTACAAGCTCCTTAGAGCCCAGCCCCCCATAAACTTTTTGACAATATTTTTTGTCACGTGACAGAGAACTTCGGCCAGCTGGCCAGATTGAGATTTTCAATTCGAGATGTCTGCACACATATGTAACAGTTCTTACGTTGTAAATAGTCTGCTTTTGTATTTAACCATGTAAATGCACTTTTGACATAGCTAATTTTGGGTTTATAATGGAATAATATAGATTTGCCGTAAGATTTCCTGCGTGAGTCTGTACTAATTGATATATACCATATGTGTGTATGTGTGTGTGTCTGTGTATGTGTGTGTATTATATATATATTACAGTACTACAATACTATATGTACATACAGTCTATATATATATATACACACAGTACTACTATATATAAAAAATAAGATCTGAATCCGAAAATTAAAAAAATGCAACTGAAAAATAAGACCTCAAATATTAAAATATGACAGTGAAAGTGAAAACATTTTTAAAAATCTAGAACTGAATCAAAGTTATTTTTAAACCAAAAGAAACTTTCAATCACTTATTTTTAGTTTAATTTGTATTCAACATCAAAGCTTGAACTTCCAGTTTCAATTCTTTTTTCAAATCAGCAAAACCACTGTCCCTGATTTAGCTCCATAGGGAAAATAAGAGTAGAATGTTGTGGTGAAAGATACGGCTATACTGGGATCGGCCAGATCATGTGACCAGTCCCTGCGGCCTGCAGCTAAAGCAGAAGCCCTCTGCTCTCTCCCCAGGCCTGACCACATGGTCAGTAGCCAATACTCTGCTGCGACCTGAATATCAGTTTTCACTGCCGCTGCAGCTCCCTGCCCCCACCTGTACTATAAAACTCTTTACTCCAAATTAAGCTCCCGTTTGTTTCCCAAGCCCTGTGTCATGTGGCTCTGACCACCATGCTGCCCAAGGTGGATTTCACAAAGCGAGCGCTATTCTAACACTGCTGTCAGACATCAAAAATTTGTTTTTTTTTTTGTTTGTGGTCATGCAGATATTAATAGCATTACAAAAATGCAGAAATTAAACCAATGGGAATTTTATGCAGCTGCTGGCCTGATCTCAGAGTCCAAGGACACTGGGGGGGGGATCATTCAGAGCTAAGCCCAAACAGCACCAACAATGTAGAGTGGGATTAAAACCCTGGAAGACGTGCATCTAAAGGCAAACAGGCATCACACCATCAGCTGAAAGATTGTTTGCCATGACGTGACACCGTATGTCATCACATCATTTTTGAGATGAAAAAAGAGAAAAAAAAACGTGAGCTGCACTGTGGCTCATTGGGTAGGAAGGTTACCGTACACCACCAAGGCTGGGGGTCTGAATCCTGCCCCTAGCCTGTGCAAAATGTTAATGTTTGTACAACAATAAAGCCCCCCCTTCTCTGGTAAATCACACAAAGAATCATGAACTGGCTGCCCTACCTTTCTGTGGCTGGGATCCACGACCCAGGCATGCAGTTTTGAGTCAGTCTTGACGTCAGAAAAGTAATTAAGCAAGTAAAAAAGGCAGACTAACGTCAAAAGCATCAGTGAGACTCGAGAGGGCCTGCAAGACAACACAAACACACAAATGCAAGGTTACTGGGGGCAGTAACACTAAACAGACATTAAACTGTTTGGTCGATTAGACTGGTGTGGCAGAGCTGAACATGACATCATAGGACTAATGGAAATGAAAAGCCAAAATCAAGAAATAAAAGCTAAAAAGCTGACATATAACTGTTATCAGTGCAAAAATACAAAGAGCTCCATCATGGAGGTTTCCACTCGTCCTGCTTCCTCTCCCTCCTCTTCTCACCAGTCCAGCTGGGCCTTTGTATAGTTAGCTTACTTTTTTCCTCCTGATCACGTGTCATTACAGCATGTTCCCTCATCCCACACGGAGCAGTCATGTGATAATCATGACTCACCAATGCCTGCAGGTATAACATTTTTGTTCACAGCGATCAAAGATGCATGCATCAAAAATATAAATGATTTCTTTGTAGTTGTGATGAGACAGTGGTTCCATAGATGTCACTGTGACCTCACACGACCAGGACTGTAGGTTTTATTCCAGCCCCATCTGAGTGGTGTCATGCCCCACTCGTCCTACCCTCTCGTAGGGCATGCCCCCTCATCTACCCCGTATGGATTCCCCGTGTTCACCAGCTGTTTCTCATTGTTGCAATTAGTTCAGTGTATTTAAGTCCACATAAGAGTATGTTTCCCCAGTCCTGTCATTGATGTTACATGTTTAATGTCCTTTATTGGGAGAAGATTCCCAATAAACCCGCATTCCCTGATCTATCGTCTCGCTGTTCCTGCTTCCACGGTCCCGTGTTGTGACAGAATGACAGGACTCCACAAAAAGACACCTTGCCTGACTGAGGCAGAATACCTCAGTCTATGTGACGAGGTGATTTATTGGCTTGAGCAGCCGGAGGTGAGGGGCGATCCCGTGCTGCGAGCCATCGCGCTTCGGACGAGGGATACCCTTGAGGAGATATCCCTGCCCGGAGACGTGCACCTTTCAGGGGAGGTGCGCGAAAACATTCGGCGGCTTTGAAGCGGAGTGGCGGTGGCTCACATGAGGCATGTGGCTGAGGCCTGTAGCTTGCCTTTTGGTCCACTGTCCGAGCTACCTGAGGTGTCCCAAACTCCACCATCCACTGCAGGAAGGAGGAAAAAGCGGAAGAACCGGAGATGGGAGGACCCACAGGAGGTACTCTTCGCTGCCTACCCTGCTGCTTGTCGGGAGGTGTCCTTCCCGATCCTCAACCCAGCAGTGTTCCCCCCATCGTTCCTGTGCCGGCGGTTGAAGCTCCACCCCCGTCGTTCCTGCTTCATTCCCTGTGGTTCCAGACCGACCGGCTCCTGCTCCCCTGGTTCCAGACCCTCCGCCTCCAGCTCCCATGGCCCCAGTCCCCGTGCCTCCAGCTCCCATGGCCCCAGTCCCCGTGCCTCCAGCTCCCATGGCCCCAGTCCTCCCCAGTCCCCATGCCTCCAGCTCCCATGCCCCCAGTCCCTGATTACCAGACCTCCATAGTGGAGTTGGAGGAGCAGCTCAAGTGGGACCCCTCGGGAATCTCTCTGACATCCCCGGTGACTCCATCTGTGACTCCTTCACCATCAGCATGGCAGATCCTGGCCAAGCCCCCACCTCTCAGTCTCCCAGAAGGGGAGAGGACACCTGCGCCGGGGTTGGGTCCCACTCGCCCTGCCCCCTGTCCCTCTGGCTGCGGCTTGGCGGTCTCCTGTGGTCCCCCTGGCTTCAGCTCGGGGGTCACCTTCGGTCCCGCCAGCAGCACCTTGTCGGCCGGCTACCGTCCCGCCTCCAATGCCTTGTTGGTCACCTGCAGGTCCCCCATCTTCGGCTCGTCAGTTGCCTATGCCTTCGCCTGCCGCGGCTGCTGTTCCTTCCTCCCCTTCACCTGTGTCCCCTTCGCCTTCCTCCTTGCCCCCTTTGTTGGTCCCCCCGCCTTCCTCTTACCCTGGTCCCATGGTGCCCTTGGTCTCGTTCCTCGCTCCCCTTGGGCACGCCCAGAGTGCGGTAATGTCATGCCCCGCTCATCCTACCCTCTTGTCGACCACGCCCCCTCATCTACCCCATGTGGATTCCCCGTGTTCACCAGCTGTTTCTTGTTGTTGCGATTAGTTCAGTGTATTTAAGTCCACATAAGAGTATGTTTCCCCAGTCCTGTCATTGACATTACATGTTTAATGTCCTGTATTGAGAGAAGATTCCTAATAAACCCACATTCCCTGATCTCTCGTCTCGCTGTTCCTGCTTAAGTTAAGTTGGAAGAAAAAAGTTGACAAGTTTCTCCCTGGATGTGCAAGAGTTTTTTCTCCAGTTAAAAAAAGCACCCAGCTACCTTCCTAAACTTCCCACAGTGAACAATAAAAAATAAAAAAAATTGCTTCCACCTGCGTGTTTGCACTGCGTTGTTCTTGTTATTTGCATGGTCTTCCATCTATATGCACTGTCATACACCACGATTTACTTATTTCCTGTAATTCTGCTGATTTACTATATTGCTGTAATTGCTGTGTAATTTTATTTATTTTCCCCCAATGTTTATTGTCCAGTGTTTCTAATTCAACTGTTCAAACTGTCTGATGCTCTGAGGAATCGCAATTTCATTATATGTGTATCAAATGACAATAACGTGACCTGACTTGGGCTCTAGTCGGTCTGTGCCTCTGTGCTTAAGCCTCTGTGTCTATGATTAAAAGGATTCCGGTTCAAAATCCATGTCTGCCAAAATCACTATTGAGTCCTTCAACCCAGCTGCTCTAGGTACTGGCTGACCCTGCACTTTGAACAAAAAATATCTCCTAAATTAAATGTAAAGGGGCACTGGAACCCAGCAGCACCTAAGTGGTTCTAGACAAACGAATGAATGAAAAAACATGAACCTCACAAAGCTGCCACAATGAGTGGTTAATTCGGCACTTGAGATTTTTGGTGAAGCGTACTTTGCACATTTCATGTACTCAGGAGATTTTAGGTTTCTTTAATCTCCGGTAGACAGTACTGAGATAAGGGTGAAAAGAAATTAAGATTTTTAAACTGCAAAATGAGCTCAGTGCTCTTTTTATACTCTGCTCACTCTCCATATTAAAAAAGTGGTTCTTGAGAGGACACTCAGGAAACTGCGTGTGTGTATGCGTGTGTCACTTCCTGTGTACGTGGCCCCACCAAACTCACAGTGCTCCAGCTATCAAACTTCAACATTGAAAAAGTGCATCGTGCAGAACACAAATAGAACAAAGATCAAAATTAGAAAACAACCTACAATTCCCTAATTTTCAAAATCACTGCTTATACCTATTTGAAGTTATCCTAACTGGAATAGAAGGGCAGTCTTTAAGCATATGTAATAATTTAAATATATTCTGAAACACAATATAAGAACAATTAGATTAATTTCCTTAATTATGACAAGCCCTTTTTAGCTAGCAGCACTCCTAATTACTTTGCGAGTTGACAAGCTGCTTTAAGGTGCCTGACACCCTGCGGCAACAGGTTGTTCTTGCGAAGGCCAAAGGGATTAACCCATTCAGCCATTGCAAGAGTAGCTGTTCATTCCAAGTCTGTGATTTTTAGAATACGGCAGTTTTACAATGACACTAATTCATTCAAGTCCCCCAAAAATGCTGGCCCGTCCCTAGTTTATATTTCTTAATTTATAAAAATTATTTAGTTGGTTTTCCAGGGGTTACTACTACTACTACTAACAAAAATAATAATAATAATTATGTTATACTGTATAAAACCTTTCGATAATCAAAAGACAATCAGGTTCTGGTCCAGGTCCTGCTTAAGCGTTCCCAACGGGAACCGGAACTTGACCAGTTTTCAACATTCTGGGAACGCTGGGGGTTTCGCAGAGGGGTTTGTTCATTTCCAAAAATGAACTATACATTTTCAATTTTTTGTGACCCCTGATTTTTACTCATTGTGTTCACATTTGAAAAAATAGAAACCATTACACTGATGAAAATCCCCCAATGACTGTGCAACATAAACCTCAAAGTGTTGTTAGCCTGTGGTCTACTGTAGCTCATACATGGAATTAGTGACACAAACATACACGTGCATCAGCTAAAATAATCGTGAGAATGCAGCACCTAGCAGAGATGGCACACAAGCCCTATTGGCATTTCCGTATTCTGCAGTGTTTTTGCCGGACAGCGACTGGTCATGTGCCAAACCACACTGATTTATTTCAGAGGAGAGTCTAATTTAGCCCACCTTAAGCAGTGCAGTGTCTTCAGTTTGCCCATGGTGCACAGGAGGTTCCGGACACCACAAGTCCTCAAATGGCGACTTCTGTCTGGGAGGCTGCATTTGCTGCAAATCAACCACAACAAATAAAACAGTCCAGACTACCTTAAATCCGACAAGTTACCCCGATAAATCAGTAACCCTGCTTTGTAATACAGGCCACAGATGACCTCATAGATGTGTGGCCTTGATAATTACAGAAACATTGCCAATGTTTGTATATTTTTAATTATCTGTACTAGACAAACAGCAATCGGTTCTCAAAAGCCTGTGAGGGCCAAAATAACTGATATTCATGATCCCCACATCTACAAAATCTGAGCTGAGTCTCGTCCTGCTGGGGAGAGGAGGGCTGGAGGCCAGTGTTCTGACCTGTACCTTATGGAAATATTCCAAAAACACTGAACAATGTTGGTATTATCTACCGCTCTAAATTACCTTCAAACTCTCAAGAGGACAAACTGACCCAAAATTTCCTCAAAGCTTTCAATGGTGTCCTTCAAAATGCGGGCAAGGTCATTCCAACAACAAATGTCTTTTGCATCACCAAAATTTCCCTTTGACCGTGGGGAGCAAAAAAAAGATAACTCAGAACGTTTTCTTATGAACTGTAACTTCAATAAATTTACCTTTTGCATAAGTCTAAGTTTCTTTTTTCAAAGTCAAAGGTCACCTGACGAACTACAGTGTTTTTTAAATGTTTTATTTAGAGGTTGCAGCAAGAAATCCTTCCTGACAAGCCTTTTACCTGTACCCCCTACATCATCACATGGGCACTTTACTTGGGAAGTCAGAGAAGATGCCACTTTGCATGCCACTGGGATGACCCAGGTCAACTTCAGCTTATCAAGAGAGTCAGTCAGTATCATTACATGCACAGCTAAGTCAAGCTATGGTTATAGCTCGACTATGCCATTTAATTGGACTACTGTCCTTGTTCCAGTATTCATACACAGGAGGGAATCGATTTATTGACTGAAGTATGTCAGACTCCGCTATAATAGGTGGTGACAAGGCTCCTTTCAGCTTATTAGTATTGGGCTTTTTCCGGTTGACCTATTACATCACAAACTTCAAAAATGCTAAAATTAATAATAATGGATGTGTGAATAAATATTGGGGTATTTATGACACAAAAAATAAGTTCAACATCCATCCATCCATCCATTATCTATAAGCTTTATCCATCTGGGTCGCGGGGAAGCTGGAGCCAATCCCAGCATCTTCGGGCGAGAGGCGGGGTACACCCTGGGCAGGCCGCCAGTCCACCACAGAAATTCAACATAAATTTGTTTAAATTGATTTAAACAGCAAGGATGAAAATGATTATGATTGTCTCGTAGAATGTATGTATGGAGGGCTAAGAGTGCCAAAATTAAATAAATAAATACACCAATAATTAATTAATTAAATGTGGCATGAATTGTTTGAAATGGGAAATAAAAAGAGAAACTATTACTTAAATGTGTCATGAATTATTTAAAATGGGAAATAAAAATATCGTTAATTAAATGTGCCATGAATTATTATCTACCATTAGAAATAAAATCATTATTAATTAATTACATGTGTCATTTACAATTATTTCACTATTTATTTAATTTTGGCACTTTCACCACATCATGAATTAATGTTATCTGTCACTGCGGGTCGTCAACCGAGAGTAACATCTGATTGGTTACCCTGTACAGCAAGTCAAAACAAATAGATCCCAGATAATGGATCGGTACGGGACCCGTCAACATACTCCGAGACAATAGATGACAGTATTTGTTTTTACATTGCTACCTATAATAATCAAGAAGAAGAAGAATTTCGCAACGGCCTTAACTGAGCGATATAGGTAGGGGTGTCACTACCGAAAATGTTACACCTACCGAAAATGTAACTTCCGCTACTACGCATGCGCATGGCTCCAATCATTAATTAATAATGATTTTATTTCTAATGGTAGATAATAATTCATGGCACATTTAATTAAGAATATTTTTATTTCCCATTTTAAATAATTCATGACACATTTAAGTAATAGTTTCTCTTTATATTTCCCATTTTAAACAATTCATGGCACATTTAATTAATTAATTATTGGTGTATTTATTTATTTAATTTTGGCACTCTTAGAGGTAAACATTAAAATTATTTTTAAACGTATACTAGATAATCTTAAAAATGATTCATTATTAAAATTGCAAAACTTGCTAGGTTTTGTTTCCTAAGAAAGAGTAAAAATGTTTTAGCGAGACTTAAACTGCTTGCACTATAATATCCATACCAAACTGAAGGTAAGAAAAAGCCTGATCTTAATCTAGCTGACTAGTAATGTAAGAATTGCATGTGCATAACATGCGCTATTGGTATTAATATCGCAAGTCTTGCAGTCCTACTACAGGCATCTTTCAAATTCAGTACAAAATACCACGCCTCACATTGTGATGTCATTTGGTGCCGGTACCAGTTTTTACGACAATGGAAAACCAACACCTTGAAGTACCGTACTTTTGGTAACTTCCTGAAGTACCAAAAGTACGGTACCTGGTGCGGTGGGAAAGCAGCCTTTAGTTGAGTGGTGAATAGGACGGCTTTACATCCTCTGCTATGCTCCAAGCTTCTTCTGTTACTTCCAGGTAAATGCCTGGGGAGAAACTGTGGAGCATGCACAGAGTGCCTAGGCCAGTTTCAGTCCGATTAAACTAATACATACCGGAGTAAATCGACTCCCAATCTCATTATTTTGGGGTCGGAATCAAATTCAATTTAATACTATTTCAGTCAGACTAACATGTTTACATGTACTTTAAAAGTCCAGTATGAGTCGGACTAACACAATCATTCTTAGTGTGCATGTAAACGTACTGATTAATGAAACAGAAACTTTGGGTTTGGATCTCCCCTTTTCTTTTCCAGTAGACCATAAACAGGTGTAATGCTGCCTGTGAACCTCACCAGTGGTACGCCTGCACTTCATTTTGCAAGTCATAGGAGAAATTCTCTGAGAAATCCCCCAAAACCCTTTACGCACTTTATTGTACACCTCAGCTACTTGGTTGGTGACCCCCCCAGGCTGACACGCGGTCCAGTCCCACCATCCGTAAATGGCCATCTATCTGCCACAGCCAGGTATTAGTTTGGAGTTCCCACTCAGGTTCTCAGCAATGAGGATCCATTTGGCACTCCCAGAACAACCACTTATTCAACAAAAAAGTCAAATTAGCAGTACCTAAGGATTCTCCAAAGAGAGAAAGTACCAGAGGAGTCCAGTCTTTGTCTCACGTCACTGGATAGCGTCCATTGTGGAAGGATTGGGTGCATTGTGCGATTGTTGTTCTGTCCTAGGTCTTAGGCAGGAAGATACTCTTTGTTCTTGTGGACATGCAGCCAGGCACTTGAGTGGGGAACATGCTGACCTGGTACAGTTACAGGGTTACAGGAAATTGTCAAATTAGTAAGAGCAGGAAAGACAGGATATATCTAGCAACTCGAAAGGAAAAAACAGGGGTTTGTGGGGCGCTCTCATGACAGTGAATAGAAGTACAGTGGTACCTCAGAACTCGAACTTAATCCGTTCAGAACTCCGGATCGAATCCTAAAAAGTTCGAGTTGTGATCAAATTTTCCCCATAAGAAATAATGGAAAACCAATTATTTGGTTCCCGGCCCCAAAAAATTACAGCTAAATATGTTTTTTTAGCATTTAAACACAAAATGAACCGGATAAAACAAGAAGAGCATATACTGTACTAAACACATCTAAGCACACTTATCAAAACAGTAATTTGTAGGGGTGCACCGATTGCAGTTTTCTGGCCGATCAACGATCACCGATCCTTAGGCAACCTTACCTGCCGATCTCGATTTTTTTTTGCCGATCTTGTTTCTTTCATAACTAAAAGACAGTTACTTCAATGTTTCCATTTTTATTGAGTAAATTGATATGAATACTCACAAAACATGAGGTAGTGTCCTCAAATATAAATGAACATATAAATGAACATTGCTGTTTGAACTACAAAATCATATTTTTTCTTCCAGACTTTAATTTCTCTAATTTTGTAAAAAAAAATATATATATATAGCTGTTATGACACACTTGTCCAAAAAATAGGGAGGGAGGCAGCCTGCACTGCACCTCTCTCGGGAATGGGAGAAAAGGCTGATTTAACCCTCTGGGGCCTAGGGGTAGGAAACACACTTTCACTGACTGGGGCATGATCACACATTTCATCACACTTAATTCATGGCAAATAAATTATTTCTTATATATTTGTTTTGCCATTACACTCATCTTTATTTTAATATATATTGTAAATATGTCAGATTTTTGTTAAGTTTGAAATTTGACATCAAAGTATAGACATTGCAAAATGCAGTTTGGAACACTTGCAGAAACATTATAAAAGTACATAGTAAGCAATGCTGGCAGTTTGTTTTGATCCCAGATATCTGATCACCAAAGTCTTGGCTACATGAAGATGACTAAATGGTGTAGATGCAACATTAATTTGGATAAATAAATAAGAAAAACCTAACTCATGTAACTATTTCTGGCTCCTTTCATTGAATATGTAGCAACTTTCATGTGTATGAATGAGCCATTGTCACCTGGCCACGTCCCCAACCCCCTTTTATGGCGCTGAAGGGGATGTATCTGGATCGCGTTTCACCGTTGCGCTGTTAATCAAATTACCATGCGAATGCGATTTGAATACGCGCTAATGCGGCTATTTAGAATGTGAATAGCGATCTTCGGGTGAGAGCGGTACTACACGCCTCCGATGCAGGTAAAACAAAGTAAGATGACATGGTTTACTTTTTTGCCGATTTAACCTAATTAAAAAAACTTTAATACTTCCGACAATGGACGTTTTGAAAAGAAGACAGATTACGGATTTAGCCAGCGTTTTTTTCATGATTATACATTAAGATTTCAGCGAGATATTTATAAACTGAAATAGACGCGAAAAGTACGCGAAAAGTACGCGATGTCGTCGACGACATACTCGACCCCAAAGAGTTAAAAGCATATAACTAAGATCGGTGGATCTCATGGGAATATGGTCGATTTCTGATCCCCTCAAATTAACGTGATCGAGGCCGATCGATCGGTGCGCCCCTAGTAATTTGTAAAGTAAGAAAATAAATGTATCCAAACAATGTGTAAAGTAAAAAAAAAAACAATGTGTCCTGCCCCGATCGTCCGCTCCTTCCGTGTGCCACACCCCCTCGTTAACCCCGTGTGGAATCCCTGTGTGATCAGCTGTTTTTGGTTGTTTTTATTAGCTCTCTGTATTTCGTCCGCGTTTCAGTTTGTTTCCCCAGTCTGGTCATTGTATTGTCCGTCTACGTTTTGCCTGCCTTACCTGTAATTAAACCCTGTATTCCCGATACCCTGACATCTGTGCCTTTGTCTCCGTTCCGTCCCCGCTCAGCACGACAATATTATTATAATTAAATTTATTAATGGTTTATTATTAATATTAAAATAATGAAGAAATCTTTATTTTTAAATGTATTTTATTATATAATAATTACTGTTACTGTCTATCATTGTCTAAATGTATTTTTACTGTCTAAATATATGTATTCAGCTAGTGTAAACATGCACTATGCTATCACAGAAAATGCAAGGCTGAGACTGAAGCATTACCCTTTGTTTCCGCTGAGAGACGTGCCGCGTGACTCATTTCCCCGCGCTTACAAGTTATCTTAGGTCGGCGTTCACGGTTTGACTTCTGAGATTCAGATCGAGCTCTAGGTAAATTTTTTTTCAAACTGGTTGGTTCGACTTAAGAAATTCGAGTTCTAATGAGTTTGACAACTGAGGTACCACTGTAATTGTATATATTTGTATCATTTTTAAATGTGGTTTATTTCAAGGATTTAAAACCGTGTTTGTTGTTGAGATCAGGAGATAATAATAAAAAAAAGAAACAAAAAACCAAACCAAAAAATTCTGGCCAGTAAATCCGTGTATCGTTCGTTCTTTGAATTTTCCATTTCAAAACCAAATCGGAAAAACAAAAAAATCAGCGATGTTTTTTGGTTCTTCTCTTTTAAAATCCGAACAGGGAAAAAGAAAAACAGGAAAAACAGGCTTAATATTTTGTTTTTTCTGTTTTAAAATCAAACGAAAAAACTGTAAAATCACATTTGTTTTGTGATATTTACATGTTCACACAGTCAAACACGAAAAGGAGAGCAACAGTGATTCTTCTTCAGAAGACACATCTGTCACTGTAAATACAGTATGAGTAATGACTGTGGGTGAGAGCTCAGATGGGTTCTGGACCAACGCCAAGTTGGAAGGACATTCAGTAAAGATACAAATAGACACTGGATCAAAGGCGTCCTTAGTGTCCTATTAAATCTACAGGAAATGCATGAGACATCTTCTTCAGAGCATATACAGGAAACCCAGTGCACATGAAAGGGATGACAGATGTACTGGTGCAGTGCAATGATCAGACTGTGAGACTCCCAGTCTACATCACAAAAGGAAACTATGCAACCAGTGCCGTATGCTATCAGACCGAAGGTGGAAGCTGACTTGGATGCTATGGTCCAGAATGGGGTTTTGGAGCCTGTAACAACCAGTGAATGGGCCACACCCATTGTTCCGGTACCAAAGAAAAATAGTGGAATCCGGACGTGTGGAAATTTCAAAGTAACCCTTAACCCTGCCTTAATAACGAAAGAGTACCCGCTTCCTGTGATTGATGACTTGTTTGCTGGACTGAGTGGAGGTCAGAAATTAAGTAAAATAGATCTAAGTCATCATTCCACATTTATTTTTCCGGTTCATTCCACTGTCACTTCGTGTGAAAATGTTGCAACAGCTTCATGCAGTACAAAGTGGAATAGTAAGGATGACAGAAATTGCGAGAAGCAATTTCTGGTGGCCAGGCATGGACAGACAAATCGAAGAAATGGCTACAAGTTGTTCAGCTTGCCAGAAGACAAGAAACAATCCTCCACTAGCTCCTTTCCATCCTTGGGAATTTCCACAAGAGCCTTGGCAGCATGTGCACATTGACTTTGCAGGACCAGTGGAAGACAGAATGTTTCTGGTCGCTGTCGAAGCACACAGCAAGTGGCCTGAAGTGGCTATAATGAGGTCAACTACAACAGAAATGACAATCGAAAAACTAGGAAAGATGTTCAGTCGTTTTGGATCCCCAGCTCAACTAGTCTCTGACAATGGATCACAACTTGTGTCTCAGAAAATGTCTGCTTTTCTACAAGCTAATGGAGTGCAGCACATCACATCAGCTCTTTAACATCCTGCTACTAACGGCCTTGCTGAAAGATTTATTCAGACTCTTAAACGAGCACTCAAAGCATCACAAGGACAAGAGAAACTACATCAAAGACTCCATAACTTTCTGTTGAACTACAGAAACACTCCTCACAGCACTACAAGATCATCTCCTGCAAGCCTAATGCTCAAAAGAGACCTGCGTACTACCTATGATCTGTTAAAACCCGCACCAGTGAAAGATGTAGTTCAAAGTCAACAGAAAAAACAGATACAACGCAGAGAGCATAAGGCTAAGAACAGAGTTTTCACATCAGGACACACTGTGTTAGCAAGAAACTATAGTGGAGGACCTAAATGGGTTCCTGCTACGGTCATTGCCCAAACTGGACCAGTTTCTTATACCGTCCAGACAAATGATAGTGTTTGGCGAAGACACGCTGATCAACTCCTCTCCGCTTCACCAACATCAGCAGAGCTGTTCCCAGGACATTCTTCAGATGCACTGACCGACACTTCAGTTCTTTTCCCCACACAAATGCTGCACCCAGTTCCAGTTCCAGTTGTGCCGACTACAGATGTGACAGCCAAAGGGACTGAGACACCTGTTCAGTCGAGTCCTAAAGACCCTCATTGGACAATAAGACTGATGTTCCCATAGAGCGCCAATATCCTCAGAGAGAGCAGCGAATGCCTCTCCGCCTGGATCTGTAGAGTAGATCAGTGGCAATTCCAAACCATTAAGGGCAGAATAATTCCCTTGGAATCAGTCAAGGGATCGAGACAGTCTACCCTCATCCCTGAGTTAGAGTTCATAGCATGTATGCTTATGTGTATTGACACAGAAGAAAGAAATGGTTGGCTGTGATGTTCAATCACCAGTGTTGTCATGTTTTGCTATAATGTTTGATACCAGAACTAGGGTGGATGTTCATATCCTTGAACTAATTTTTTCTGTTATTTGCATGGGAGACATCAGTTGTAAGAGGGGAGGAGATGTTATGTATTTTGAGTTACCAGGGCCACCGTAGTTGAGAGTGACACATGGTATTATGGGTAACGTAGTAGCCTGTGTTGTGTTGGTGCGAGCCGCCAAAAAGAAGCAGCCGTAATACAAATGATGTCCGGAATAAAGACAATTAAACGGTAATCTGAGTTTGCATCTTCATTAAGGTGAAGACTTAACAACGTATTATATAATTTATAACATAAATTTTATATTACAACTTATACAGTGCCTGCCAAAAGTTTGGAAACACCTATACCCATAGGGAGGTTTACCTGTACTATTGTCTACATTTTGGATAATTATAAAGACATCAATAATATAAAATAACACATCCCTGCTAAAAAAAAAATTAAAAAAAAGATCAGCGGAAATCAACAGAAACAGCCATGCTGCAACCACCGAGAGGGAGCTGCGAGCTGCATATAACCACTTTATTTTGCTGTGGTTAAAAACAAGCTAGCTAAATACAGTAAGTGATATGTTGTTGAAGGGGTGTGCGTGACAATCAGAAAGATGCTAGGTTTCCTTCTGCCTTGTGATTTTGTTTTTTGTTTGCATTAATTAGGCTGTTAAACTTCTGGCATGATTCTTATATTGTTCTTATTGTGTGCCTATATGAAATGTTACTGACGGTATTAACTGCCTGCAGTAGTAACAGTCAAATGTTTTTCGCGGTAATTATTTATTAGTTATTGACTGCGCTGCCGAGAACTCACGGTGCACACCAGAAAACAGGGCTCCCCAAAAGCTACTGTGTAATTCGAACCCTGCCTTATGTCAATACGCACTGGAGACGCAAAAAGCTTGTAGGTACAATTGGAAACTACACCTAAACCCCAAAACAGTGGAGGATGCGCAAGTTGTTTTGTTAGTTGTTAGTTACTGGGAGAGTCATCTCCCAACTGATCTTTCGGTTTCATGGAATAAAATAACGTTACGCGAATAATTGCTGGCAAGTTTCATAGCCGACATCGGTGATATTGGTTATCGATCGGATATCCTATGCAAAAATATGGAGACGCAAACAAAGAAAATGTATCCATTAAATTAACTGAAATACAAAAAAATTCCATCTACTCAATGTTTGCTCCGGTAGTTCCATCTCTGTTCCCCGAATTTCCGCATAAAACTACCAAATTAGCGCCGGTGCTTGTGGGTGTTCGAAAGAAAAGTACCTGGAGTAGGTAGTAAAGAGGGTTCCAGGACTAGCTCTGATGAGGTACAGTCGGGCCGAGACCCTGCGGTGTGAACGCGACAAAAATTCCAGTTCTGGAAAAGGGTTCTCGTTCCCATAAAAAGATGTCCCGGCATGTCCATATATGTAACTGAGCACCGCGGGCCACCAAAACGCTTCAGAGCAGTACTGATTTCTGAGTGTCCACATTCAAAAAGTTCACAAATAACTGCTGTATGTTGTTAATGGTTAAACTGTACCGTTGTCCTTTCTCTTTCTTTTCTTCTTCTCTGTGCTCTGCTGCCCTATATCTGTGGTCATCGAGATAAAAAAAAACACTACTCTACTGTTTTTCTGATTTTTCGAGCTTCCATTTTGGTTTTAACTTTAAAACTGAAAAACGAAACATTATGCTTGTTTTTTTTATTGCCACGTTTTTCTTTTTCCCTGTTCCGATTTTAAAATAGAAAAACCAAAAACAATTGTTTTTTTGTTTTGTTTTTCTGACTTTTGAAATGAACGATACATGGATTCTAGTACCACAAATACTATGATTAATCATTCATTCTCCTAATCATCTTCATCATTAATGATTATCTCATCCTTGAGCATCCAGGTGGATTCTGCTAAACGGTTAATTAGCCACCTACAGTAGCATAATAACATGGACATATCACTGACATAGCAAACTTAAAAACGACATACAAACACGAACACACACACACACAAACTTTCAAACAGCCAGTTTCAGGCAAAAACTTAATGTGGTTTTTACTAGTAGGCTATTTCCCTTATTCGGAATAATAGCCACCTTCGCTACTAATTTTTAAAACTTTAAACGTAGGCCTACATAAAGACTTACAATCTCATTTATGTTTTTTGTTAATCTTATCTGTAATACGTACACTACAAGATGCAATAATATGGCATTTCAGGTATTAATAAAACAGACATGGTTTGAGGTGTTTCATTTTTGCTTTGGTTAATTTAAAATGTATTAAAATATATTTCAGTTGTTGTTTGCTTTAAGGTTTAAGGTAAGTACGTGCTCCCCTTCAAAAACCATTGTCTAAAATTGTTGCCTAAAGATTCTTAGTTTCAAGATGATCTGTGCCTGCCACACAAAAACCCCTGTTCTCTTTGGGTAATATTTTATTACATTCTGCAAGGTGGGAACGAGTTATATCATTTAAATATTTATTCAGAGTAGAATACCGTAAAACATAATTAATCTCAAACGAAACTCAATAAAATATACAATACTTTAAAAGACTACGAAGGAGAGACTGCCCCGCCGGAATTAAAAATTGCACTAAATTAGAGTGGTAAATTGTTATAGTTTTAGCTGTTTTCACGTGTTCTTAACGCTTATAAATCGTTAGCAATTGCTATTAACACTAAAAGCGACGACCGCGTACAACTGGCCAGCAGCCTTGTGTACTGCATATCGTGTTACCTTCCCAAGATTTGGTGGTGGTTTTTAAAACTATGTATCTATGCAGTTTCTCTCAATGACACGAAATATAAGCGCTGATATGCTTTAAGCTAATAATAACATTTAATATAATAATCTGTAGCAAAATGAACGCCTCTTTCTAGAATAGCCAATGCAGGATCGAGATCAACACTGAATTGAAATGTTACATATCATGACTGGGGGCTCGCTTAAGTGTACTTTATATAAACATGCGAAATTATACGTGATTTTATTTATTAGTTATATATAAAAATGGTTTTCTATTTCTTGTCGTGTTTCATTAAAACTTAGAATGAACGATACTTAAGCTGAAATCCGAATAATTTTTTTTTAGCGATGAACCCCACTCCAGTCCAGACACAGATACATAAATACTGTACTGAAATACGTACCGTTATTTACAAGCTTTCGTGCTTTTCCATTTTGCCGTGAACAAATGATATCATATACACCGACTGTGCTCAAAACCACATTTTGTTTGTGTTTTGGGACGTCAGAGTCAATCACAAAGTGGCCGTCGCGGATCATAACTGCGAAAAGCCCCTCCCGCATTTAATACCCCTCCCAGTTCTTAAGAATTCAACTGAGGAATTCCATGTATGAGACAAATAAGAGAATATGAGTATAAGAAGAAAAAAGAGGAATACCTAAGGTGGGAAATCGGAACGTGCGCAGTAACGCCGCCGCGAGACCACGTCCGTCCCGCAGCCCGACCGCGGCCATCCCTCACGGACAGTTACCTAGCAACTACTCCTTTCGCGAGCTTGCTGGAGCGAGGTTAAAAACCGTTATCCCCGGCGGCTTCAGGCGGCATCTCGACGCCGAAAGTCCATTTCTAAAGTCCGCTGCGGCCCCCCTCACGCCTCCAGACTTCGAGAACCACACACCACAAAGCAGAGATATTCAAAGAGCCTACCTTCTAGACTGCGGGGATATCCTCCCATTATCGCGAGAGACGTTAGCTGCATGTGGTTTATTACTATCTTAAAGCCGGTATGTACCCAAACATGCATAATAGGACGTCTGAGTTGTGAGCCTCCGCCTGCTGCATGGAGCAGTCTGGCCCTCGTCTCCCCGCATGAGCTGGCCGGCTGTCTCCGGTCGCCTGGCTCTTACGCAACGCTGCGCAGTTTCCACGAAACTGCTTGATTCGCAGCGTCGACCCGTGGGTTTAGTCGACGGCAGCTATGCGGATTTGTAACCCATCTCACGGCTCAGCGAGTCAGTGATCCTCACTAACGGAAATAGTTTTTTTTTTTTTTTTTTTTATTTCTATTTCACGATTCCCGCTCCATGTTGACCTGATGCCGACACAGTTTCTGTTAAGGGAATTCGAGAAGATGGGGCGCCTCCTCGCACCATGCTGGGTCACTTTCCTTCTCCCCCATCGCCTCGTATTGTGTGAGCCAGTGGTGTATTGGAAGTGTTATATTACCCGTGCGATAACATCGCATCATCTCCTTTATCTTTTAATTTGACAGGAAATCCAACTAAGGCGCCCCCCCGATCCTCAGTAAAATCATTCAGACTAAACTGTAATCTGATTTTCTGTAATCGGTTCAGAATGTTTATTTCTCTTTTGTACTGTTATATCTTTTTATGTTCAATATAATATGTCCAGGTTATGTCATTATGAGTGGCTGATGATCCTGAACAAACCCAAACATAACATTTTTTAATAAGCAGCCAGATTCCCCTGATCCAAAACAAATGTTTAGACATAAACAAAGCTGATACAAGTTCTCTGATCATAGAAAAATTTAAGCTTGTGGCCACCTATCTTACTCAGTTAATGGGACAAGTATTAAAATAAACTGTTCAATTAATTTCATGATTTTCCACATGCTCTCAATTAATCTAAACTATTCCCAGCCCATCACCCACCTTTATTTAAATTTCTCCGAAACACAGAATGTCCCACATTGCAGTGGTCAGAGGCTATAACTAATGACAACCTTTTAAAAACTTTTTTTTTTTTAAAATGGTTACATGTATACGCATTGCGATGGACTGTGCATGACCAAAACAAGTGGTTGCTTTTTCACAAATTAGCTCAGGAAATATTTAATCAGAATAAATGTTTCTAGTAACAAAAACAAAATCACAATATCAAGTAAAGCTATAAGCAATCCACAGGTGTATAAGTCTAATGTGATTTGGAGTATAGCCATCTCTTAGTGCAAGGTAATCAAAAGTCCAAAGCTCACACAATGAAGTTCCTCCAGGATCAGGATTCACCGCCACAGTCCACAGCTGTCCAGCTACGTCACTTGTGGTATGTTGAAATGTGATATGGGTTAGGCTGATTTATGACAACAGGCTGCTCCATTAATGTTTCACTAGGTTTCTGATGTAATAGTAATAAAAATGTTATTGGCTATGTCCTAAAGTAGTCGAAGTTAGCATCTGGGTAGATTAATAACTAAAAAATATTGCTTTTAACTGAACTTTTCAAATAATCATTTAAAATGTGTATAGATTTGGATTTTTTAAAGCTGACTTTATATGTGATCTTAGATTTTGTCTTTGATTCTGTATCTGACTGGCTTAGCTGTTTATGTAGGATTGTGAACAAATCAGAAGTTTTACATCAACCGATATCATGGTTGTTTATAAATTCAAAACAAAAATGGAACAATGGTTTACATTTTAATGGATCTTTCCCCAACAAATGTCACATAGGATGTATGTTCATATATTACATGGTTAAGGATGACAAACACTAAGTAGCTGCTTTATTTAGAAACCAGCAGTATTATCCTTGATTTTCAACAGAAATGTAAAGAAATTACCAGCAATGCATACTAATGTATCCTTCACAGGTACTTAAATATGGTATGAAAAATATTGACAGCACATGATTTTCTGAATTTTTGCCATTTCAAATCAAGGTTTGTATTTTGCCTGTTCCTGTCCTTGGACCTCACTGGGTGAGGAAGAGCAGACTATTGCAGAGGTTGCTTCAGATCAAAAAGTCCTGTTCCACCTTTGACGACCTTACCGACCACTAGACAGGCAGAAGGAGAGCATAACTTGTCTTGGGATCCTGTGGTGAGGAGAAGAGGAAAGAGACCTCAGTGAGGACTCTATTCAACAAACAGAAGCTAGGCAGGTCTTAATCTGCATTATTAGTTATTTAGTCCTGGCTACCATGAACTTAGTTGGATTATCAGCTGTTAGGTACCCTATAATTGCTGAGCAACAGTGAACTTCCAGCTATCTAACCTCCACACCACATATGCAGTACAGGGTCGCAGGGAGACTGGAGCTTATTTCATGTAGCACAGAGCACATGGCTAAAGGATCACTCTGGACAGGATGCCAGTCCATCACAAGGCACACACAGTCACACTCTATGAGACACCATTTCAGGTAACCACATGACTTTTCCGGACCATCACAAGAAACTGAAGGAACATGCAAACTCCACACCCAGAATCAGGACATGATGGAACGCAGTTGTACTTTACACACAACGTCCATGCAGAAACTGATTCGGCACACTCAAACCAGTACCGCCTAGTACCCCACGGAAATCTTCGACTGGACAGACACAAGAACAGATGCAATTCTGACCCATCATGGTGGCCTGCTTCAGGAACTTGTAGCTGGTCTCGAAGGTCATCTGCTGCAGTGGAGAGGAGCTGGACTCAATGGCGAAGCGGTTTAGTGGCTTGTACTCGCCTTCAAAGCACATGTAATCAGCCACCAGGGACAGGTGGCGGGGGTCAACTTCAATGCCTGTGCAAACAATGATCTAATATCAATATACATAGGTCTCCACTGTTTGTTCCAAACCTGACAGCATGGATTAGTTTTCATGAAGAGCACTGAGCGCTCTATTACCTTTCTAAACAAACTATTTTTAATTAATGTTTTAATGATGATATGGGTCTTATTTTGTTGGATTTATAGTTCAAAAGGCTGCTTTACCGTAGACAGCAAAGACATCCTTGATTTCCTTCTCAATGACCCTGACTGCCACTTCGATGCCATATGTGTTTGCCATGGCATGGATCTCATTGGAATACAGGCGGTTCAAGTCAAGAATCTAGGAGTGCAAAGGGACAAAGTGAATTTCTTTTTCAATAACTGCTTTTGAATCCCGCTCATGTTTAAAGAGCGAAGTAGAAATACTCACGTCACCATACTTGATGACCTCCTGCAGGTTGATGCCTTCTGTGTTAAGCAATAGTCGTTTCTCGCCATGCTGACTGGTGACCTCGCTGAGCAGGCAGCGGGAAATACCTTTGATCTCATGCACAATGGCACTCTGGGCCTGAGATGCCACCAGCGAAGTCAAGTCAAGGCGTACATTGCTGAGAGGTAAAGCCAGCATAACCTAGCAACGTAAAGATAAGGGGATGATTATCAAGGGTTTATAAACTCACTCAAGCACCACCTACAAGTTAATGATCCATCACATTATTTCCTAGTATGATATGTGAAGGTTATAAATTAAGTGGAGGAACATGAACATTTTTCCAGAATCATAGGGGTATTGGATCATTTACAGTCATTCACATTTAAGTGCCAACAAGTATAGTAACAGTTAAAGCTGGTTAATACTTTTCTGCATGCATACTAGCGGAAATGTCTGCTCAAACATTTATGACACATTTGATGTCATTGTGCACCTCTGCAGATGAACGCCTTCTGCACTATAAATTTGTGTCTGCGCAGCTCTGGGCACACTGCGCATGACCGATTCGCTAGTGTCTACTTTAAATACCAACATGTAAGCTTTTGACAAGCGTTGGAGTAATTTGCAAACTCTACAGACTATTTAAAAGGAAATAACATTGTAAATGCATATATGTGAGTGTGTGTTTGCATATATCACATTTGAGGGCCAAATTGTCCCCAAAGTGTAGTAAAACCTGAAATTTCCCTACTTTTGGGGACATCTTTTGGATAACCTCAGTTTTAAAAAAATCTGTGAATGCAATTAAAAAAGTAAAAATGCCAAATGTCTTGTATTTGGGTTGGTTACCTATGGTTAGGGTTAGGGATGGGTAGGAGTTACAGTAAGGGTATCGTGATTGGGATTAGGATTTTCCCCATAAAAATAAATGGACGGTCCCCATTTAATTAGGAAGACCAACTTGTGTGTGTGTGTGTGTGTGTGCGCGCATGGAGACTTGTCTCGAATTGAAAATCTCACGCCAGCCAGCTCATCAAAATTGGAAACCCTGTGAGCTGACTCTCTGAATTTTTAAAATATAGAGAAACGGATACAAACCTCACTGCTGTGGTACGTCTGCAGGGAAAATCACAGAATATAAATACAACGTGTTGTGCACATGTGCAAAGTATACTTGACCAGAGAACTGTGAGCATTTCTGTGTACACATACGCACAGTGGGTACGCGAGTGTTGCGCTTGTGTGGAGTAGTATGAACCAACCTTTAGGAATCTTTGTGAAATCAGTTTCATGTATCACCAACCATCCATCTTTGAATTTATGAAAAGCAGAGTATATACATATGTATGCATCATACATATGTATATGTATGTGAGAACCTGTATGACAAGACAATCAGGAGCTAAGCTGCTTACTTACTACATATTAAAATAAAGTCATGCCCACCTCACACCAGAGGTCACTTTGGCTGTCATATCTGTAACTTTCAATTGCAGTGCTAAGATCCAGCACCCTGTTCACCCGGAGCTGGTTCTGGTCCTCCGGCTGGGTTGGGTCTGGAGTGGCAGCTGGAGATTTTGCCGGAAACGGGTGAGGACTCCCCAGAAGCTGCTCTTCCTCATCATTCTCCTCCCCCTCTTCTGCATTGGGGGTTGATTCCTCTTTTTCCTCAAACAGGTCTTCTCCATCATTCTCCTCCCCCTCACTTTCATAATCCACCTACAGGGTGCACATCAACTCTTCAAAAAAAAAAATGTATTGGACCCCCAATACAAAGCTGGTAGCTACTTAATCAAAAATAGTTAGAGCTATTATTGCAGCAAAAGTTGGCGTTACCAAATACTAATGTGGAGGGGTTGCATACAACTTGCAAGCAACATTTTTCAGTTTTTGAGTTTCTTTAAAATGTTTGTTAAAAATGCGTTCTGAATTACTGTGAAAACTATGCAGACATAGGAAGAATGTGTGCATGTGTCATTTGTAATTCAGTGGAATCTGATCATTTTATGGAGGGTTCAATACTTTTGCAAGGCACTGCAGACCGTGAGCATGCAAACAAGCAATCTGCATATGCTTTACATTATATATATT